TTGTTAACTGTGGGTAGTTAGTAGATATGTCAGCCTGTGAAATTTATATTTTGAATAATTATAAAATCGCAAGTATGATACTTTTCTCAGAGCCATGTTTAGATAAAAGTTTAAGGAGTGCATCATCTGTGTGTGTGTGTTTTGATATTTTTGAAACTAAGTGTGTATTTGATAAATTTAATAATTTATTTAATCATTCCAGTGTTTCTTTATTGAGTGCCTAGTGTTTGTCAGGCAGTGGAGAAGCTGTAGGTAATTGCACTATCCCACTGGAGTTACACTGTGGTTCTTTCAGTCTACCCAACAGTGTGTGCTGACAATGTAGAAGTAAATGAATAAACAGGAATGGAATACAGAATGATTCTTATGAATAGAAAGAGTACTTCCTAATTGCAAACTTACAGCTTATACATCTGCTGGAAACTCCTTGTGCTAAGTAGATGAATTCAGGCATTAATTTCTTACAAAAATAAAAGCTAAAATCACTTGTACCATATATATAAATGAGACAGTGAGCCTGATATTCAAGCTTCTCAATTCATGTAAAACTAAAGAAATATAGTTTATTTGGGGGAGCTTCATTTGCACCTTCTTTGGCAAAAGATAAGTGACAGAAACACACCAAAGCAGAGAATGGTTTTCTGTTAAAAGAGTGAGATTCTCCAATTAAGGAAAGAAACTTTAAAAGACAATTTTTACTCCTTAAAAAGTAATACCCAAAGGAATGTAAGAATTAAATAATATAGAATTATAAAATTAGTAATTTGCTCTTTTCATAATATTCAAAAATTTAAAAACAAGTAAAACACACAGGATTTTACTTATATATTTCTAATGGTTGAATCTTTTAGATGGTTATCACATATGTGCACAAATAGAAGCCTAATGTGGTTAATGCTTAAGGTGGTTGCCTTTGCCAAATCAGTTTCTTAATAAAGATCGTGATAATTGGTGAAGCAAGGTTAAAACTATGTTTTTTTCATAAGTTTTAGATATGGGTAGTAAATATTTTTGAGTGCTTCAAATTCTTCTAAAAACATCTACTGAATAGACTACCTTTTAAAAATAACTGTTTTTATACAATTGGAGGCATTTCTTTAGTATCACATCTTTAAAAGGAATGAATTAGAAAATCTAACTTCAAGTCTCGGCTTCATCTTTTTGGGCCTCCCTACCTCATGTAGAAACTGAAAGGTTTGAGTTACTTTATCTCCCAAGTCTCTTCCGGTTCTGAAAGTGATTCCAACAACCTGCCTGTACTTTCAGGCATTTGAACAGTTTCAAGAAAACCTTGAAACATGATGAAAGAAGTTGCCATTGTATTCATATGAAAGTACAGAACAAAACTTGCAAACAGTTGCTGCTCATTACAGCTGATATGCTATAAATGGTTGTTGACACTGAGACCAGATGTCATGGAAAATCCTGCATCATTAGGAAGCAATGGGGGTGGGGAAGGAACCTATGTGTAAGAATGTCTGTACACTCTATTTAAAAACCAACCTAGAAAGGGATTTTCTAGACGTAGAAAAGGATCTAGAGATCCTCTCAATATCTAAAGACTAACATAATAGATTCCATTAAGTTGGCATCATTAATAAAGACATTCCTCAAGTTATAAATATTAAATGTTCTCCACAGTGAAATGGCCGGCTGCACTGGAATGTAATAGCTAATCACTAATGTGTATGTTGTCATCACAGAGGACAGAGCTCCTGTGATAAAACCCAGTGTGATTTTATCATTCCATAGAAACCATTATGAGATATAATTTAGTACCCTTATAATGTTCATTTGAGAGATTAAGGAACTAATTAATTAACTCCAGGCATCTGTGAGTTGCCCAAGTCCACATAGGTAATAACAGCCAGAGCCAGGACATGAACCCAGATCTTCACATTCTTTCTAGATCATCACCCTGCCTGTTTCCCTCACAGTGCTGTGCTCCAGTCAGCTAACTATATTGGAAAATATAGTTATTTTCCAATAACTGGGTTTCTGATCTTACCTGTCTGATTCGTGTCAGAAAATCAAAATAGTGGAGTAATAGCAAATAATTGTATAGTAGTGGTCTTTTCTAAGGAGGTAATCATTAATTAGATGAGAAATTCTACCTTTTCACATTGGGTGGACTATATCTGCAAATTATCTTCCTTTCTGTAGGCGTTCAGAATTTAAACTAACCTTGCCAATAAAATTTGTAGTACAATATATTTTTAACTTGAAAGCTATATGAGTGGTAATGATTCAAGAATATTAGAATAAATGTGCTTGTCCTGATTAAAATGTTGCTTTAGAAAGTCTTAGTGATTAAGCCTCCCACACTCTTACAGAACATAGTAGGAGGATTATTTAAACTAATATATACCAGAGTTATATAGAAATCAAACTTGTGTGATTATTCTTTATGTTTCATTAAAGCTGCTCTTTAAAGCAATCTCGTGATGAAATATTAAAAAGTAAATAATCCCGTAAGCTCATCATCCTAAACTTTTTAGTTTTCATTATATAATTTCATTTTAGATCCTAAATTTTAGTAATCATCCTAATTTTTAAATTTTCATTATATAATTCTGTATTTTAGGTTTGCCTAAAAATATACATAAACATGAAATCATGTTAGTCTCTCAATTGTTAAATCTACAGTCACCTTCAAATAGCCCTGCCTATTCCTGTACATAACTGCAGCTGAACAGTCTTCATAAGTATAAGGTGCAACTCTGGTCCAGATGGATTTACTATTTTCTGGATGACTCACAAAGTTCCTACAGTGAGGTCTTCTTTAGTTATGAATATTTACCCCAGTCATTCAGAGGTCATACATGATAAAACTCCAAGATGTTTATTTCTTCTGAATCAGCACACTTGGTGCTTCAGGCATAATGCACACAGACCTGCCCAGCAACTTTTTCATTTAGTGATAAGAGTAAAAACACACTCAATTTTTTAAAAGTTTATTTACCAGTGACATTGACAGTTGCTCAACAAACTTAGCACTTGACTTCAAATACCTAAAATTTGATTTCTAAAGTGGTTGAAACTTTTTTTGAGTGAGTCTGTGGTTGACAAATTAGGACAGATGTGTATTAACAGAAATCTCTGACATGCCAATGCTTTTGAAAGTGAAGAAAGAATTAGAATCAACTATTGCTTACAGTTTGATGTGGTTTTTCCAAGTTAATTATTCCACAATAATAGCTGAAACTTAACTTCTTGATCAAATTAGAAACTACATGAATGTGATAGATCATAAACCTTAGTTACAAAAATGAAATGTCAAATGAAAATAATTTAACATAAGTAGATACTGTAGTATATTGATGTAGATACTGTAGTATACTGATAAATAGACTACACAGTTGCAAATAATTTCAAATGTTTGGTTTCACTAAAAGTAATTTCAGCATGAAAGTATTTTATATTCTTGAGATATCTTCATCCCATACTCCAAATTAAATTATGTATTTAGTGTTGAGGTGGTTAAAAATACCTGTCAGCCCACAAAATTAGAAAAGTTTTCTCACATTTACCAAGCATCGTAATAGTAATGAATCTGATGGCAGTGAGCAACTATAGCCTGAAGAAATCTGGTACTTGATTAAAACTTACTCACCAACACTCTAATTTCTTTTAGATTTAACATAATTTCTTCCAAGTTCCAGTTATGGGTCTTTGCTAATTTGCATGGCTGGCTTAATTAATAAGTTAGATACTGGTTTAGGCTGTGTTTACACAAGGTCAAAACAACCAACAGAATTGACTGATTTAGTAAGAAAAATGTAGCCAATTTGATTTTTAAAGCATAACATTACTTGTTTATTAACATATAAACAAAATGAATTTGATTGACTGAATTTTAGATTTTCAGACAATCGTTTTGGCACTTGTAGAGTCCATTGTTTCCCAACTACTTTCAGTCTGAGACACACCTCTAAATTCGCTGGGTTTTGTCCCCAAATAGGAAGACTTTGAACCACTCTCCCATATACATTCTCACCCAATATATTTATCAAGTTTGGGGTTGTATATCCTTAACTGTATATATTAATCAGCCTCCTTTTCCTGACCATCTTCATTTCTTAAAATCCACAAAGGAGATTCATGGAAATTGAAGACTGGGCCCTGGTGCTTATTCTCAAAGTACTAATGTGTCTTGATGTATTGGTTGGGAAACAGTGGTATAGACACAGCCTTATACCAAGACTGAGTTGCATAATGATAAATACCCAAGAAAATAAAAATATATCTTTCTCATAGTATTCTGAGATGGAAGAATAAATATATAAGTAATGCTCTGAATCTATTTTATAGGTTGAAGAAATGTAAATTATGTTTAAAAAGCTGGCTTATAAAGAAAAAAAGCTGACTATAACATTTGGCAAATAGTATTATACTCTTTCTGTCTTTAAGAATAAACAGATTCTTAAAGACAGTAATTTTAATACATAATTCAGAGTGAGTATCCAAAATTTCTACCAAAATTGTTTGGAAACATTGAGGAATCAAAATCACTACATTTGGGTCCAAACTCTTGAAGTTAACTAGGATTTAATTTGCACAGTTTCATTTGCCAAATGTCTGTAGATTGGTCCAACTCTTGTTATTATTTTGCCAAGTTTCCTTCTGCTGAAAATGTCTGTGTTCTGTCAGGCTTCTAAGTCAATGTCCATGGCCAAGTCTGAATCCTGAGCGGTCCTTGGAAACATGTGAGCAGGTCAAGACAGGTGCTCTCATTCTTTGATCCCTCTCCAAGTGTATTCTCTCTTCTACCCAGCATCTCTCTAGGACAGTTATGCATCTGTCTAAAACCTGCACACATGATAATGTTTAATCATTTTCTAACTGCATTTTCCCTGGGATTTAGGAATGGCAGTCTCTGGGAGAGATGACAGTGCATGAATTTTTTTTCCCCCTAATCCTATAAAATGTTGCTAAGTTTTGAATAGTCTCTTAAAATAGGTTCTCACTTCAGTCTCTTTTTTTTTTCTTTCTAAATAAAGCCTGAGAATTTGCTTTTAGCTAGCAAATCCAAGGGAGCAGCTGTGAAATTGGCAGACTTTGGCTTAGCCATAGAAGTTCAAGGCGACCAGCAGGCGTGGTTTGGTGAGTAGGGCCTCTCCTTCATGCTACCTGTAGTCTTCTGGCTTCCAACTTCTGGCTCCTAATCCCACTTCCTAGCCAAAATAAAATGGAAATGTTCATCCTAACAATGATTTGACTAATTTTAGGATATTGTACTTTTATAAGCACTTAATTTTATTGACATGGAAGGGTATATAATCTAGAAATAATTTAAGGGAAAATAATGGGAGAACAACAAGACATATACTTTTTTTCTCAAAGTATGGGTGAGAAAGTAGATTATGTAGTAAGAATTAATTAGAAGATTACAACATTCAGAGAGTACATTTTTTATTTGAAAGAAAGTTGATTGTTTACATACAACCTCACATGAGGCCAAAAACTGCTATGTAAATACTAGATGCTCAAGAAACACAGGATATTTCACATATGATAATTTATTTATGAATTAAAGATTGTTTCAAAATTATGAAGCATATATGTATATGTGTATTTCAACTTAGTTATTTCATATTTCTTCAACATGCCAGTTTCCTCTCAAATATTCCGATAATTTGGAAATTTTTAGATGATGAAATTACTGCTTCTTTACAATTAAGGAAGAAATTAACTCTAAATTAATTTATAGTATTTCTAACCAAACTTATGTTTTGTTTTAATGTTCAGCCTGAATAAATTATTTTACCTATTAATTTTCTTATAGCTCTTTCTGCCATTTCCCAATATCCAACCCACTTCTCATGTAGAGTTCTAAAATATAACCTTTCCCCAAGCCTGTCTTACTTCTCTTCTGACTTTCAGTGTGTTGAGGTTAATTTTTTAAATGTCCTTCACTCCTGATTTCTTTTCCTCTGAGCAACAACAACAAGTAGAAAGAGGACTAAAAACATGCAATTTCTTTTGTTTTTATGCAAATGCTTCTGTGTATCCCCAACTTACACATCTCCCAAGATGTACATATAGCTTCCAGGATTCTCCACATCTCTCTTAGCTGCCCCAGCTGTTACTGGGAGTGGATGGTGTGCCAAGCCTTCCTGGCAGCCTAATGTGGGACCCCGGTTTCTGCTGCCTGTCCTGTTCCTGTAGTAGTGACAGTTATTCTTGTTTGAAGTCCCTTCTATGTTTAATATTACCTTTTACATTGTTTTTTTACCATCCAATCCCAAAAGAACTTAATACTTCCAAACTTATCATTTGGTTTGTAATATTTTAACATTTTAATAAGCTTGTTCCCATTATCTGCAAACTGAAAGAAGGTAGGACTAGATTAGGTCTGTAAATTAGAGATTTGGATGATCTCTGTATCCTGGAAAAGAGTATAGTTAGTTAACATAGAAAAAATATATTGTAACAGGAGTTACAGGTTGAACCAGAAGTAGTGAGGCTATCACAGAGATGGGCAAAGCAAATACTGAATATACATGTATTAAATAGGAAGTCCTGACCCTCGAGGATCTGAGGCTTTTGTATCAATAACTAACTATTTACCATTCAGGATGGGAGTATCTTAACATAGGAATGTATGAGGTGCTGTGGGAACACAAGACAGGAAGTACAAAAACCTGCCTCTGGAGAGAGGTTCAATAATTAGCTGCCTTTACTACTATGATTGCCTAGGGGATAAATGGCACTTTGTTCACCATCATGCAATGAGATTAAGGCATTCCAGACAGAGGGATCTGCACATGGAAAGGCTCAGAGGCATGAAACGATTTTTTCTGTTTCAATAAAACAAGAAGTTTGATATAGCTAAAGTATACTGGGGTAAGTAGTACTTAATGAGGCAGGAAAGGATTTTATGGTTTTTTGAAGGGTTTGGATTTTGCCTTAGAGGTTTTGGGATCCGGTAAAACATTTTTAGAAGAGAGGGACATAAGGGTGTATGTTATATAATAATGATTTCAGTAGAAGTATAGAAGATGGGCCAGGCGCAGTGGTTCACGCCTATAATCCCAGCACTTTGGGAGGCCAAGGAGGGCAAATCACCAGATCAGGGGTTTGAGACCAGTCTGGCCAACATGATGAAACCATCTCTACTAAAATTACAAAAAATTAGCTGGGCGTAGTGGTGGCTACCTGTAATTCCAGCTACTTGGGAGTCTGAGGCAGGAGAATCACTTGATTCTGGGAGGCTGAGGTATAGTGAGCCAAGATCATGCCACTGCACTCCAGCCTGGATGACAGAAAGAGACTCTGTCTCAAAATAAAAATTAAAAAATGAAGAAGATGACTTAAGGATAGTTAATCTGAAAGCAAGGACCCAGTTAGGCTAAGGCAATTGTTCAAATTATGCATGATGATAGCTTTGACTAGGGAGGATGTAGGAGCAAGCAAGTTCCAAATAACACACAGAGCAGACAGGAAATAGGAACTCTAAGAGAATCCATTTAGAAAACATGAAAGTCCCAGACACTGGGTTCAAAGACAGGACTCAAGTCCTGTGTAGAGCAAAGCAGGACCCCCCCCGCCCCCCACTTCATGAAAGACTTGGGGTATGAGGCAAGATACAAAAATGGGGACTTAGGCCCAAGAATATAATTGCCAGAAATTAGTATAAGGTGATGACTGGATGTCAGGAGTAAGACAGAAGCCTTTGTTATGAGTTCTGAGGCTCAAATTAACTTCAGCAGCTATGTTTGGTGATTACAAGAATGCTGGAGTCAAGCTCCTTAAATCTCTTCTGTTTTTGAGCTTGCTGTTTTATCTCCTCTGCTAGGTCACATATAGTTTGAGAACAAGGCTAGATGTAGTGGGAAAATTCTACTATTTGAATCAGAATTTATGAATTTATATCTTGGCTCTGATTCTTAACAGCTATATGATTTTGAGCAAGTCCCTTTAAATCTGTGAGATCACTATCCTCTTTGTAAATGGGATAATAAACACTTCTTCACAGAACTGTTATAAGATTGAGTGACGTAGTCTATAGGAACCTGAGTGAGCTATAAAAGATGTTCAATAAGTTTTCAAAACTGTCTTGGTATGAAACAATGACATAGTTCTTTGCATATTCAGTGAAAGTCGTTTAGTGAATCAGTGAGTAGAAGACTGAATATCGGTTCAGTAAAAGCAATAGTATTCAAATAAAAGTGCAGAGATTTTCAAATTGTTTCTGATTTCTAAAAACAACCTCATCCCAAAGAAGTAATGACAGCTCAGCAATGAAATTTCCACTTGATAAGTATCAACAATTAAGTTATTGTTAAGGTACATATTAGAGTAATAACTTTTAAAAGAAGCAACATCCTAAGTTCTAGGGAAATTCAGTATTTTAGAAGTATAGAAAAACATAGTATCTAAACTTCAGAGAATATACTTCTTTTCTCTGTTTCTTTTCTCAAGTTCAAGCAAATCTTCATGGTAACCTGAGGGAAAAGGAGGCATGTGGTGTTCTACATTTCTTTCAGATGAACTGCCAGATATATTTTAAGTATTAAAAGTAAAGACATGTTTTAATAATGAATGACGTGTTTTGATGTTTATTCATTATTATCTGCCATTATAGTCCCATATATTTTGACTGACTAATTTTACCTTTTAAAATGTAATATCAGTGTTTAGGGAGAAAAAGATTTGTTATTTTAATTTTTATAAAGAGCAGGACTCTTTTTTCATTATGTGAAATACCCCAGAGCTTCAGGCTTTTGCATCATGTTATTTTAATAAATATACAAGGTTTATTACAAATAAGAGAAAATATAATACATATACAAAACAGCATAATAGATAATACAAATCTTATGGAAGATGTTTATTGTGTTTTCTCTTTTTAAAACATTGTCTTTTTTGGGGGGGATTGAGTCTCACTCTGTCACCCAAGCAGAAGTGCAGTGGCATCATATTGGCTCATTGTAACCTCCATCTCCTGGGTTAAAGCAATTCTCCTGCCTCAGCCTCCCGAAAAGCTGGGATTACAGTTGCCGACTGCCACACCCAGCTAATATTTTTCTTATTTTTAGTAGATATGGGGTTCACCATGTTGGCCAGGCTTGTCTCCAACTTCTGACCTCAGGTGATCTGCCCACCTCAGCCTCCCAAAGTACTGGGATTACAGTCACAAGCCACCATGCCCAGCCAAAAAATTGTTTTTCAAATCCAAACATGTTTGTTCTTTCCCATATTTACTTTTCACTTTCTAGTCTGGGTCTGTGGGAATACTGGCCAAAAATAGAAGTAAACACCCTGTCAATACACTTGATAAGATGGTTACCAAAAAGAAATATTCAGATATGTTGTTTGTTTTATGGAACTGGACATATTATTTGCAATACATTTCTAGCATTTTTGTTGCTGCTAGGAAAAAAAAGATAACTACCAAGATCTTGGTTCATGGAAGAATTACTTTGCTTGGTTGCTGTTATGTCTCTTTTTTAAGTTATTAAGGTTCTTTCCATTAAGTGACAATGGATACATTTCTAATAGTAATTCTCTTTTCTTTTTGTTATCTATTTTTATATTCCTATTGATTTTTCAAAGTAAGAAACATATGCTCTTCCTAAAAAAAGCAAGCTCTCATTACTTTTTCTTTTGATGGAATATATTATGATAACCCTAGATTCTGCAAGTTTAATTTCCCACAAAGAAGGCCTTATCTGTTGTACCCCCCATGTCTATATTTATGAGGTCACATTGTACTGCGCATTGTTTCCTCATGTCCGTGCATTTAGATACATGCTTCACTATTCTTGGAATAAGGACCCTACTGATGGTTGTAACTTAGTAAGAATGAGCATGATGGTGTTCTCTTAGAATTTTAGTCTTCAGAAAAGGCTTGTAATAATTTACATTTTAAATGATCTTTTCATTTCTTACTCACTTCCTTATCTTAGGGAAGCTTAGGAGAAATATTGTGAACATTTCCCATTTCTGACCATATATTCTAAGTTATTGAAATCATAAATTATTAAGGGTTTATTGATTTAGACAGCAGAGTACAGATTGTATAGAAAAGAATGATTGAAATTCAGGGTGAGAAGGGATCACTGAGAACTGTAAGTAGCTAAGGAGAGTTCTAAGATGGAAATAACTTAGAGCCACTCTCTGTTAGAAAACAGGTAGAGAAAAAATATAGAGGATTCAAGGAACAGTAAAAGTAGTATCAAGGATGACAATGAGAAGTCCATTTTTAAAAGACTTTAAAAGGATTAGTCAGGTCAAGGGCTCAGAAGGAGAATGAATTCATGTTGAATGAATGAAGGGAAACCAGATGATAGAGGATCTGAAAGTGCACACTGAGGACACTGGATTTAATCTGGATTTTAGCAATCGGCTTCTGATTGGAGTTTCAGTGCCTGTCAACTCTATAGAGGAGTTAGAGAAGGACAGTGAGAGTGGAGACGACAGAAGCACTGACAAACTCTTTAACAGTTGTACCCATCTCTGCCTTGAAATTGACAGACTGCTTATCACTCTTTGAGGAAATCTTCAAGCTTTTGGCAGTGAACCACTATTATTGCTCAGTAATTCACTTTACCTCACAACTACCAACCAACTATTTCTTTTCAAGTCAAGTCTGAGGTACAGGTGGATTACCCAGGGTGCATTTGAAGGTTAAATTATAACATACAGGTCTTTTCTTGGCATTCCTTCTCATTGTCTATCCAATCTTCCCCCAAAACAAACAGAAAAAAAAGAATAGTAATAGAAAAAAAAAAGATTGGGAAGTTTTATTCCTCATTTTCTAATTTGTTCAGAAAAGTAACTCAATTGTATATATTGTCTTTTTAATACATCTTTGCACGTTGTTTGTACTTAAAAAGTATAAATTTGTCACAGAAATGAGGGGAAGAAAGCTCCTCTCTGGGGCACTTCACATTTCAATAAGTATACAGTGTGTTTCATCAATGATCTGTGGTTGGAGAAATTCTATTATATATACTTTTAAAAAGATGTTTTTTAAAGTGTATTTGTGCTTTTAAAGAAAACTTCCAAATGAGGATAGTTATTTTAGTATGTTTCAAGTAAATATTTTTATTTTTAAAAGTGTTGTTTTCAGAAATAAATATTTTACTCTAGATTCTAGCTATAAATTGTTTTAAGTGTAGTTTATTGAATTCTATACCAATATATATAACATGAAGTTTTCTTTCACCATCTAGTTTTTCTCACGACATCTCCTTCTTAAATGTCTAGTTGATGCTTGTTCAATAGTGATTCATCTGAATATGTCTGCATCGTCTCTTTAGTTGCCAGTTACAAGTACATACTGATTATTTATTAGTACAGAGTGAACTCTTTGATATATTTTGGAATTACCTCTTCTCCTGGTGAGTTCTCCATATTTCTTTTCAGGTGTAGTTTTAACTATCATATACATAAAGGACAATAAGAATTGCTAACCAAAAGTGGCCTTAAGTATACACAGTGACTTTGCAGCACGGTAGATTGGCCCTCATATCTGGAAAAAAGATGTATTTTTTTTCAAACGAGCTACAGGACAGGACAAACTCATGTTGATTTTTCTATAAAGAGAAAGTCTACACTATTTAGTGCTTTGAGAACCTTGCTGTATCTTGAAAAACATATCAGTTAAATAAGCCCTCCAAAATTTTCTTTCTTAGTTTTCCATTGCATATTGTTTTGTCAAATCAACTGTGACTCATTAATATTTCTTTTCCCTAGGTTTTGCTGGCACACCTGGATATCTTTCTCCAGAAGTTTTACGTAAAGATCCTTATGGAAAACCAGTGGATATGTGGGCGTGTGGTAAGCAATTGTATTTTGAAGCAAATTTTGTGATATGCTAGTGTCTTAGTCCATTTGGTCTGTTATAACAATCTGTCATAGGCCAAGTGGGTTAAATAACAAAAATATGTTATTTATTTATTTATTTAGAGGTGGAGTCTGGTCTTTCTCCCAGGGTGGAGTGCAGTGGCACAATGTTGGCTCACTGCAACCTCTCCCTCCTGGGTTTAAACGACTCTCTTGCCTCAAGTAGCTGGGATTACAGGTGCACACCATCATGCCTGGCTAATTTTTATGTTTTTAGTAGAGACAAGGTTTTACCATGATGGCCAGGCTGGTCTTGAACTCCTGCCTCAAGTGATTCACCTGCCTCAGCCTCTCAAATTGCTGGGATTACAGGTATGAGCCAGCATACCCAGCCACAAAAAATTTATTTCTCACAGTTGTGAAGGCTGGGAAATTCAAAATCAAGGTACCAGCGGATTCAGTGTCTGGTTAGATACTGTTTTTAGTTTTGTAGAGCTATCTTCTCTTTGTGCCTTCACATGGCAGAAAGGGAGAGAGGGCTCCCACAATCTCTTTTATAAGAGCTTAATCCCACCCATGAGGCCTCCATCTTATCAAAGTCCTCACTTTCCTTCCTTCCATCATATCAGGAGTTAGGATTTTAACACATGCATTTTGCAAGGGGCACAAATATTGTCTGTAACAACCACAATTTTTATGATTTAAAATATAATTTGACGATTCCTAATCAAAAAATCTGCAATTTAAAATACTTCCAAAATCCAAAACTTTTTGAGTGCCAACGCAATTGCCACATGTGGAAAAGGCTGCACCTGACCTCATGTGATGGGTTGCAGTCAAACATGGTCAAAACTTTGTCTCATGCACAAAATTATTTAAAATATTTTATAGAATTACCTTCAGGTTATGTGTTTAGATGTGTATAAAAAATAAATGAATTTCATGTTTAGACCTGGGTCTCATCCTTGATTTATATATGTATAAATACTACAAAATCTGAAACATTTCTGGTCCTTAGCATTTTGGATGAGGGATACTCAACCTGTAATATCTTTCAAAATGAAAGATGATACTCTAGTGATCAACTTAGAGTAGAAGTTCTCAAACCTGCAATAAGATCACGTGGAGAGGTGTTTAATGCTATGTTTCTGATTCAGTATATCTAGGGTGGAAACATTTACCTTTTTAACAAATTCTCAGATGAGGCTAATGCTGCTGTTTCCTAGAACACTTTGGTAACAGGAGTGTGGAGCGTTGCTCCTAGCAGTTATGCATTTATGCTGCTATTTTCTCAATGTATCTAACCAGTCCTTCCAATCAATATTAGGTTTGCCTAAGACACTTGACAGATTAATAGTAAACTAATAAATATCAGAAAATAATGAAATTGACTGTCCTATGGAGACAAAAGTCTTATTTAGGCTTCTATCAGCCACCTCAAATCAAAAAAGTATCCTGTACAGGCCCAAAGATGTATAATGAGGAGGATTTCCACCCACAGTTTTTATAATGGAATTTTTATGTTTCAACATATACTTTGAATACAGGAAAGACTGAAAGGATACTGCAGTATTACCCTACTAAGATTATCAACATAAAGTAATCACCTAAATCCCTGACACTATGTCATTGCTACGCCTCTGCAAGTAGATATTTACCCAGCTATCATAATTTGACTTTAGTATGCTGCAGACAGATTTAATGCCTTTGATGTTTGTCAGCAAGCCTGGAAAAAGTTGATTTAAAAAACTTTCCTTGATTCTGAAAACAATATTTAGACTTGGTTTTAGTTTAAAAAGTTAATAAATTCATCATGACTACTTTATAGTGATAGATTATTCCTCACTATATTTCTTGTCAGCTTAACCTGTTTGGCAACAACTTGATGTTTGATCTTAAACTGATTGGATCTTGGGCTTTCAGAGTTACCTCCATGCCTGGGAAGGCAGTGGTGAAGTAGGGGACTATATTTTTAGTCTCAACTCCTGGGGTCGAGTCTTTACTTTGTACCTACTAATCCAGTCGCTTTAATATATCTGAGTTGGCTTCTTTACCTGTAAAATAGGAATATATAATCCTCATTGAATTGTAGGTGGGTCAAATGCAGTGCACTTTAAAGGAAGACATTTGACAATTGCTACTTAATTAACGGGTAAGATCTTAGGAATGCCCCAAGCTCTGTCTTCCTCCTGCCTACCTGAGAGAATCTTCTAAGCATGAACTCTAAAGCATGAGCTCTAAAATGCCTTTGAATTAGAGCATTGTCACAAAATATCTTTGTTCAAATCTAAATGTTAATGGCAGATAACTCTGATATTTTCCTTGCAATAAATCAGCTCCCAGCATACATAGATCTGTTTCTGCTGATGAATTTTAAAAGCAACAGAGTGGCCTGAGACTCGGGCAGATACAGATAGGTTTTGTGAAGGATACAATCCTATTTTTTGAAATGTTTTTAAAATATGATAGAGCTATATTTTTGTAAAGATGGGGGATTATAGCTAAAATGCCGCACTTGGACCTTGAACACCAAAGGGATAGTATGTCATACAGTAATCAGTTACCAGGGGAAGCAGGACTCAGCATAAGGGAAATTTCATACTATTTCTTTGCCAACTTCATCAAAAGGCCTTTTCCAGCCTCCTCTGCCTTTGTCTTTATCTCTCCTTGTTTTCCTAATTTCCTTCCTATTTTCCACTTTTTTTCCTTCATCTCTCCCATCTACTTCATAGGCAACCAGTATGTATAATGGTTAAGGGAACACACTTAGGCCAGGCACAGTGGCTCACACCTGTAATCACAGCACTTTGGGAGGCTGAGACAGGTGGATCACGAGGTCAAGAGTTTGAGACCATCCTGGCCAATATGGTAAAACTCTGTCTCTACTAAAAATACAAAAAGTAGCCAGGCATGGTGGCGCACACCTGTAGTCCCAGTTACTTGGGAGGCTGAGGCAGAAGAATTGCTTGAACCCATGAGGCGGCATTACAGTGAGCAGAGATCATGCCACTGCACTTCAGCCTGGATGACAGAGCAAGACTCCATCTCAAAAAAAAAAAAAAAAAAAAGAGAGAGAGAGAACACACTTAACTTCTCAGTTCACTTGCTGTATGACTTAATCCCTTTGTCTCAGTTACCTCTTAGAAATGGAGATCATCAAAGTTCTTGCCTCATGGGACTGCAGAGAGGATTTTTTAAATACAATAAGTGATAGTTATCATTGCCATTATTATATAAAGTCTTTCTTTATAAATGAAGTTTCTAGATAACTGATATATAGCATTATAGTAGACTTAAAAAACAAAGTGTGTTATATAACTCAGTATTATTGGTGTGATTATTGGCAGAATCAGCCCTCATCTAATGACCTGAATACCAAATTCTCTTTCTCCCTCTCTCTTCTTTCTTTCTTAACTCCTAAATTATTTTATCTTCTTTTATTCTATAAAAGGTGTTATTATGAACAGATTTCACAGCTTCTGAATAACATTTCACTCTAGCAAAGAATTTAAATAAATTATCCATTTGTTCTCATATCAAAAACATTTCTTCATGTTTCAAATGTGTCACCATAAAAAAAGAATAGACAAGTGAGGTGACAGATATGTGAGTTAGCTCTATTTAATCATGCCAATCATAAATCTGTACATATCAAAACATCATATTAGAGCCCATAAATGTATTCAATCATGATTTGACAATCAAAAAAAAATAAGATTTTTAAAAATTTTAAAACGTTTTTTTATAATGTATAAGTTTTATTGGTGTTGAAGAATATCAGATTCATTAAAAAGAAACCCCAAAAGCTAATAATTTATACTAGGGACTCTTCTCTGGCTGAGCAGGAAAATCAATGATGAAACATATACAGGCATACCTCAGAAATTTTTTTTTTTTTTTTGAGATGGATTTTTGCTCTTGTTACCCAGGCTGGAGTGCAATGGCGCGATCTCGGCTCACCACAACCTCCACTTTCTGGGTTCAAGCAATTTCCTGTTTCAGCCTCCCGAGTAGCTGGGACTATAGGCATGCGCCACCATGCCCAGCTAATTTTTGTATTTTTAGTAGAGACAAGGTTTCACCATGTTGACCAGGGTGGTCTCGATCTCTTGACCTCATGATTCACCCATCTCAGCCTCCCAAAGTGCTGGGATTATAGGCGTGATCCACCGTGCCTGGCCACCTCAGAGATATTTTAAGTTTAATTTCTAGTCTCACAATAGAACAAATATCAAAATAAAGTGAGTCACACAAATTGTTTAGTTTCCCAGTATATACAGAAGTTATGTTTACACTATAGTATAATCTATTAAGTATACAATAGTATTATGTCTAAAATGCACATACCTTACCTAAAAAATACTTTAAAATGGCCAGGCATGGCGACTCATGCCTATAATCCTTGCATTTCGGGAGGCCAAGGCAGGAGGATTCCCTTGAACCCAAGAGTTTGAGACCAGCCTTGGTGACCTAGGATGATCCAGCTATACAGAAAAAAAAAAAAAAAAAAACTATGTTGCTAAAATACCATCATCATCTGAGCCTTCAGCAAGTTGCATTATTTTTGCTGGTGATGGGTCTTGCCTCAGTGTTGATGTCTGTTGACTTATCAGGATAGTGGTCGCTGAAGGTTGGGGTAGCTGTGATTTTTTCTGAAAATAAGACAACAATGAAGTTTGCCACATTAATTAACTCTTCCTTCCATGAAATATTTACAATACTCACCAAAATGACACAGATACATGAATTGATCCCAAGTTGTTGGGAAAATGGCACCACAGACTTCCTCAAGCCAGGATTACCATAAACCTTCAGTTTGTAAAAAATGCAATATCTGCAAAGTACAGTTTAAAAAAAAAAGCACAATGAAACAACGTATGCCTTTATATCAAAATGCTCAGATCCTGCGTGAGTCCTCTGCTTTAGCGAATGTGTGGTAAACACAGGCAAACTGCATTTTTAATAACCTATGGTATCAGAAGTTGGATTCACTG